GGCCCTCTACAATCATTTAGTGACGGATCGGGTTGTTTTCTATGAACACGGCGGAATCCTCCCGGAAGTCGTTTTGCTGCTGGACAGATAAAGTGTCATTTTTTTTGTTTTTTTTTATTCTGATTTGATCTTTTCGGTGTTTTTTGTCCCCGATTCCCGGCGGGCCCCTTTGTGTTGTGTGTGCGGACGGGTGGTAGGGAATAGCCGACCTTTCTGTGTAACGCTTTTTTTGTTGCGGTTTGCGTGTTTTGAGACGTGTCCCTGGTAGCGGGGGAGGTTCCCAGAGTGCCTTATGTCTAAAACGCGGCGGGGCGGGGGGGGGGGGGGGGCTCGCCGACGGGCCCTGTGATGCTCCAGAGAGTGGGCGGGCCCTGTGATGCTCCAGAGAGTGGGCGGGCCCTGTGATGCTCCAGAGAGTGGGCGGGCCCTGTGATGCTCCAGAGAGTGGGCGGGCCCTGTGATGCTCCAGAGAGTGGGCGGGCCCTGTGATGCTCCAGAGAGTGGGCGGGCCCTGTGATGCTCCAGAGAGTGGGCGGGCCCTGTGATGCTCCGGAGAGTGGGCGGGCCCTCTGAGGAATGGGGTGAATGTATGACCCTAGTCACCCTCCGCGGGGCTCTGAGGAGTTTTGTCTCCGAGGTTCAGCTTGAAATTGTGTCTGAAGCCAAAACGTTTGCAGTGTATGGAGGGTTGGACCCCCTGCCAGGTTGTCGCTGTCTGTGTCCTCACCGGGGGATGCACCCTCTGTATTGTCTCTGGTACATAAGGACCCGTTCACAGGGACCTCATCGGGCATCTCCAACACAATCCCAAAGCAAAGGCAAAATGCTGCGCTTGATAGAGGGGCCGCTCACCCCATTGGGTTGTCTGGCTTTGTATGGGGCCCGCTCACCCCATTGGGTTGCCTGGCTTTGTATGGGGCCCGCTCACCCCATTGGGTTGCCTGGCTTTGTATAGGGCCCCTTCACACACAATGGTGACGGTGTTAGTTGTCCCCTGAACAGGTATTGGGGGAAATCTTCCAATGGGGACACTTGTTCCAGTGACACCATCCCCTCCCGTTGGAAAAATTTCCCTCACTTCCTGTTTTGTCTCCAGGACAGGAAGTGAAGGCAAATCTTCCCGATGGATACGCGCGGAGAGTAAAATGTCTTCCCGGGATTCTCCCCGCTCCTCCATCTGCAGCTCCCGAGGTTTTGGTGTTCGGATGTCGGGGGCCCCGGCAGTGACAACGTTTTATTTCCGCCATGTTGTCTGTTCATGAAAATGTTCTGTTATTTCTGTTCAATAAATACAAAGAAATATATTGTTGTTCTGCCAGAAATCCGGAGCGCTGAATCCTTCCTCTTCCCTCCGCCGGCGCTCTATTTTTATAGAGGAGAGGGGGGGAGGTGTTCTGTAGTCCTGTTCTAAGGTGACAACACTGCTTCTCCATAGATACAGTGCGTAAATACCGCCCCTCTGCACCTGATTGGATGTCCATGAGAGGGGCGGGCAGGGAAGGAGTGTTGTCACCACTTTCTTCTTGATGGACATCGCAGGGAGTCCCCTCCGGACCTGATTGGATGTCCATGAGAGGGGCGGGCCAAGAGCAGCAAACGACGGCTAACAGGCTTATGAAGACAACAGCCACCAACTCCTGCAAGGAACTATCACAGGAGGGGCCACAAGTCAGAGGGGCCACCTGAAGAACCTGCGGCTGAATCTGCCGTCCATGGAGGCCGAAACTTCCACCCGGCAAAAGTGTGACGAGGGGACCAGGAGGCGGCCCCACAGATTTGGGATATCAGAGCCGATGCTGGAAGACCCAGGAAGGGGGAACTTTACCCTTCATAGGCCGGAGTAGGGGGG